GTACCTGACCTGGCCGCAGAGGCATTGTTGGGTATGGATATCATGGACCGGAGAGCAGTCAACGTGGTTACCAGGGGACAGCAACGACAATTAGATAAGGATGAATTAGAGGCTTCTCAGAATGTAAACATGGATATATCAGGAAAATCCGGACTGTCAGAAAACGATGATAATGCCATGGAGAGTGAGCTAAACTCACTTAATAGTGATGATTTAACTCAGGAGGAGGAGCCCGAGAAAACAACTCAAGAAGAGACACCAGAAGTGGTTAACACCAAAACGCTGGACATCTCAAAAATTAACGTGGATATCCTTAGAGAGATGCAGAGATCAGATATCTCATTAGGAAATATGAGGAGAAAGGCGGCTGATTCCCTAGAGGATAGTGATGAGGATTCCAATGCAATCTTTTGGGATAATGGGATCCTTAAAAGGAAATGGAGATCGTTGGATGCAGTGCGCTCTGGTGTCCAGGTTATTTTACCTGGAATTTTAAGACCAAAAGTTATCGAGTTGGCTCACAAGAGAGCACTCGCAGGTCACTTGGGTGTAGAGAAAACGAAGGAGCGAGTTTTACCTTCGTTCTACTGGCCAGGTGTGTTTAAGGATGTATCCAAGTATTGTAGTACTTGTGATGTGTGTCAGAAAGTGGCAAGGCGGCGTAGTGATGAAAAGGCGCCATTAGTGCAACCTCCAATAGTGGGTGAGCCCTTTTTCAAGATTTCTATGGACGTAGTAGGTCCCTTTTCAAAGTCAAAGAAAGGGAATCGTTTTATCCTTACAATCATGGATGACGCGACGCGGTACCCAGAGGCTTTTGCACTCAGGAATGTGGATGCTGGAACGGTGGCCGACACACTTATTGAGATGTTCTCGCGTGTTGGATTTCCGAGAGTGATTCTAACGGACCAGGGTACAAATTTTACCTCTGAACTGTTGAAACACCTGTACGAAGTCACAGATATCAAAGGGATCACTACATCGCCGTATCATCCACAGGCAAACGGTAAGGTGGAAAGGTTTAATGCCACCTTGAAGGCTGTCTTGAAGAAATTGACAACCAGCAATCAGGAGGAATGGGACACCTTGTTACCTTACGCGCTGTTCGCGTACCGGGAGGTGCCTCATGAGGAAACTGGGTTCTCGCCATTCGAGATGTTGTATGGTTGGCCGGTTCGTGGTCCACTCCAGATTTTAGAGAAGGCCATGACAGGTGAGGCTGAGATACAGAGAC